GGCAGTATGAAAAATTGAGTCTTACATATTCTGTTGCAATTTTCAATGACATAGAAATATATGTTTTAAAATATTTAGACGATCAATCGTGAAAAGTAATTATTTTATACGATCGGAATAATTCTTTAATATTCATGCTTTAAATTATTATATTGGAATAATATAAAAGTATTCCTGGTATTTAATTTTTTTAAAAGCTTAATTAATAATTTATAATTTCTCTAATACTTTTTATTTAATTTCAATCGATATAGACTGGCCATATGAATTTTTAATTCAATATTTGAAATTCAACAAGCTTTTATCACCGTATAGAAGATTGAGATGCAACTTTTACTCGGGCCATGTAAGCGGCGTTGCAATTCTCTCACGCATACATTTATGCATATCCATGTGTAACACACATACATGCACACACAAATCACAAGCACGCGTGGCATTCATTCATGATACATACATAGTATACAATAAAGATGCTCTTGCACTATTCGTATTTTCATATTATTCTTATTTCTCTATTCTGTCTCTCGTATTGATATCACACCTCCCCCCCTCCCCTTATCGCACATTTCTAACACTCAAATATTCTTTCTTCTTGTTCTTATGTTTCTTTTTTGTTTTTCCTTTTTTTTCATTTTCTTTCTTTTTTCCCTTTTTTCTTACTTTGATTCTCAATAAGAGTAACAACTTTCTTTCTCTCTATATATATATAGAGATATATATATATGTGGATTGAAAGTGAGAAAATCGACGATAATATTTTAATGGACATTTGTAAGAGTTCACGCGCGTACGATGACACACAATGTGTATGTATATAAGTAATATGATCTAGAATTTTTCTTGCTGAAAATATCTATGAAATAACATTGGAGCAAATGAGATTGAAAACGGTTCTAAATCCGATGAGAAGTAAAGGCGATAAGTTTCCATTAATTATCGTGATTCGGCCTTCGTTTTTGGTGGCCTAAAGGCTTTTAATTTTTTTGCTTTCTTTTGTTTAGTTGCATTGGAGCCAGATTGAAAAGCTTTCCAGCTATCGACTCGTGATTGTCTAGATTCTTCAAAGTTTCTTTGCCATTCACGTTCCAGGGCCGCTTGAGCTTCCGCGGATAATTCTTCCTCTCGTTTTCTCTTTCGCTGTTCGGCATCTCTGGTTGCTAATTCTCTTCTATATAACGACAATAAATTATCCAAAGGAAAATAAAAAGGTTTTTTTTTTTTTTTTTTTTTATTTATCCATTTAAATCTCAATGATCAATATTATGAGAAAATGCTTACCTTCGTCTTTCCATGTCGGCAAATAATTTCATTGTCATCACCCAAACAGCATGCCTATATCCTTCTTCGGTTTCTTCCTCTAACATAGTACCTGTCGAATTGTCAGTCTTGCCTTCTTTTTTTAATTTTTTCTTTTTCTCAGCGATCTACAAATCAATCTCACTACTATAGAGAGAATTTTGTCTATGAGTATGTTAACTTTAAGATTGATAAAAACATACCATGTGATCTGTACGAGCCTTTGCCTCTTCGATAACATCCATACATTTTGCTCTCGTTTCTTCATTTTCCAATGTCTTCCATGCTTTATTAACAACTGAAGAATTTAAATAAATTTATGATTAATATCTGTTCAATCGATAATTTGATAAATGATCAAATAAAATGAGTTATGTATCAAAATATCATTTACTTTCAAATGCTTGTTGTGCCCTCTCTGCGTCATCTTGATTCTTGTCGGGATGCACAAGTATGGACATCTAAAAATTAAATCCCTCCCTTATATTTAATATTAACCTTACGAAAAAGTAAAAAAGAAAAAGAAAAAAAAGAAATAAAGAGAGAACATATGTACTTACACGTCGATATTTTTTTTTGATTTCATCTATAGAAGTACTTGGATCTATTTGTAAAACTTCAAATGGATTTAAATTAAAGTAAGAAGAACCAGGCCGCAATAATCTGTCGATTTGTTGTTTGGGAGTCAACACGGAATCCCTTTTTTCAATTTCTTTGACCTAAATAAATACAGAAAATAATGAAATCATGTTAAATTATTCTAATCACAGTTGGTATACATATATAAGGTTAGAATCATTTTTGTATTAATAAATATAAGAAAAGTTAAATGAATTTTCAAAAATTTACATAATCAAAATGTATTATTAAACGGATTAACGTTTGAAACGTTTAAAACATTGTGAATTAATCGTCTTAATGATATAAAACGATGTACACAAAGTGACGTTTGTAGAAATTTGGACTAAAAATGTGTATCTTCACGTCGTTATGTAATAATAAAAAATGATAGATCGTATCATTAAAAGGAATATGAATAATTGTTTAATATTATTATTAATGTTCAATGACATACTTCCGAATAAAATTCGTTGAATTCATCCTCCTTCTTCGTTGGAATTTCACTGGCTAAACTCGAGTTGGTTGCGGCCATCTTGATTTGTTCCTATTCGCGATAAGTTCCTATGTCAGCCACCAGATTCTAATTGACGTAACGCGAGAAACAACGAAATGGACAGGATGCTTATCGAGCAAATATAGGAACGTATGGATTAGAGCATAAAATTTTCTTCTATATAACTTATATTACACAACCTAGAAAGGTTCATATAAACATACATATATATATATATATATACATATAAATATATATACATATATATATGTACGTTTATATATATATATATACGTATATATATATTTATATATATATGTATATATGTGTGTATATATATATATAAAATTTAATGATCGATAAAATTTAAGAATTTGCGTTTTTTCAAACAGTATTGAATTATAATATAATTTTTACGTATCGATATAATATCTCAAAAATACTTCAATATATATATATATATATATATATATATTTTTTTTTTTTTTTTATTAATATATATATGTATATATCAATAAAAAAATGATATATATATATGAATCATTTTTTTATTAAAAAAATAATAAAGATTTTTTTTTTTTTTGGGAAATAATCAGGATGGGTACGTGTTTGTGTTTATGCATGGCTGGCGACATAAAATTTGTTATTATTTTATTAACAAAGCTTAACAGCCAATAATAAACAAGTAATGCTCCTTCGCACGTTTAATAAAGACATATAAAACGAAATGAAAACGGCAACATTCACATATGTTATTGCAGCATACACTTCTGTCAAAACTGATTTGACTAACAATTAATTTCTAACGACGTACGAGATATATTACTAAATACTAACACGCATTCTCTAATATTCGTTATATTATTAGACGAGAGAAAACTTAGATATTACATAAATCGTTTTAAGTTAGGACGTGTAAATACTAAATATACATAATATATACGGAAACACTATATGGACATCTAATACTTCGTTTTATGTCATTTTTTTTTTTTTACTAATCTACTTTTGTAAATCTAGATTAGTATACTAATCGTAACTATTAAACTCCATAATAGACATAAAACGTATTTATTTAATTGTAATATAATAATAAATAATGTGTGCCACGAGAATCAATTTGTTCGAGATAACAAAATAACGTAGTATGTAATAATTAACATACATAATTACGATGGTCCGATATGTCGTTCTTCGTTTTATTTTTTTTCTTTTGTTTTTTGATGGAGGGAGGAGAATAGGAGATTTCAATCAACAAAATCAAAGACAAATCTTTCTTATTTCTCTCTCTTTCTCTCTCTTGCTCGCTCGCTCCCTCTGTCTTCTTTTTTTTTTTCTATCTTATCAAAAAATCCGAATTTTTTTTCTTTTTTTCTTTTTTCTTTTTTTTTTTTTTTATCTTTTTCATATAAGAGTTACAAGCGATTTATTTATTTATCTTATTATTTGTTGTTGTTGTTATTCTTTTTTTTTTCTCTTATTCACGAATAAACGTAATCGCAGAACTACGATTTAATTTTTCGTCGAATCTCAAACGAAATGATACTCGCGACATATGAACATACAGTCTTCACACGACGGTGTATTTTCTTTTTTAAATAGTTTATAATTCTATACGTGAACTAGTGGTTAAAGATATTGACGATAGAAATTGGAAATTCAGAGGCGTATATAAGCATATCTACCTATACATATATATATATATATATATATATATATATATATATATATACATATATATATGGAATCTACGGAATATCTATATCTATATTAAAAACTATAATAAAAATTGTTTATCTATTCTGTATGCGTGCGTGTGTATATGTGCGTATATGTGTACGTGTATTTGTGTGCGTCACAAAAGTCTTCATTATTCTAAATTAATAAGACGTAGCACGAAAACGATATGTATATATATATATATATATCTACGCTTTTCATATGGATAATTTGAAAACTATGAAAAAAAAAAAAAATAAATAAATAAAGAAAAATAAAGAAAAAAAAAAAGAAATACAAAAGAAATAAAAAGAAATAAATATTTTTTACGCCTCTGTATAAATTTCGCCCCACATTTTACAATAAATTACACAAAACTAGCGTGCCAAAGATAGAGATCTCAACGCTACTAATCTATATATCGACGTTCTAATCGTAATATATCGTGTGAAGCAATAATGGAAGGTGGGAGGGTTTGGGAAAATGTGAGTAATAGGGTGATGCCATAGGGATATATATTATTTATCCATTAGAAATACAATTTTTTTTTTTTAAACAAATATCGAAATACGTGTGAACGAACAATCAACACAATAATAATAATAATAATAATAATAATAATAATAATAATAATAATAATAATAATAATAATAATAATAATAATAATAATAATAATAATAATAATAATAATAATAATAATAATAATAATAATAATAATAATAATAATAATAATAATAATAATAATAATAATAATAATAATAATAATAATAATAATAATAATAGTAATAATAATAACGTCGATTAATTCGATCGGTTGTTCGCAAAAGGGGAAAAAAAAATTAAATAAAAAGAGTGCTCGTTCATCGTG